GAGCCAGCCAGCTGGACAGCCAAGACTCCAGCATTCCAGGCAAAGCACACTGCAGTGCAAAGGCCCTGTGGTGGGAAAGATGTTTGGGTTTGTCTCGGGAAATAAAAAGCCAGTATGAGGAGGAGGAAGAAGATGGATGAGGTTTGAGTTTCAAAGGTAGGTGAAGTTGTGGACCCTGGCTGGTTATGCTAGGAAGCAGCCTGAATCTTACGAGCGGGGAGAAGTTACATAATGGGTTTTCAATAGCCAACAGCATCTCTTTTGCCTAAAAAAGGAAGTCCCAACCAGCTGAAAAACAAAATGAGCTGGGTTTGGTGGTGCACACCTGTAATTCCAGTGAATTGGAAGACTGAGGCAGGAGGATCACAAGTTCAATGCCAGCCTCAACAATTTAGCAGTACTGTCTCAAAATATAAAAAGGGCTGTGGGTGTGGCTCCATGTTTAGGCACCCCTGGTTTCAATCCTGGGTTAAAAAAAAATACACCCAGAGAATGGTTTCTCAGAGGTGCAGCCTTCCTGGCTGTGCATGGGAAAGGTGAGGCTGAGGCCAGCGGGGTGAAGGTGGATGTGGGGTTGGGTGTGGTTTCTGTCCCTTTCTCTGGTTCTCTGTCCCCTCCCTGGGCCTCTGTGCCCTCTGTCTCTTGTGGTCTTTACCTCTACCCTCTCTGGGCCTCTGTCTCCTTCCCAGGTCCCTTCCTCTGCTCTCTGGGACTCACTCTCTCCTTCTGTGTCACTTTTAGTTGTCTGTACCCCACGTTTCTCTGCACCTCGTGGCCTTTGGTTCCAAGGACTATGTGTGTTCCGCCTCTTTGAGTCTTTCTCCATCAGGCGGAGTTTGCCAAAGACCTTAGAGTTCATGTTCCATTTGTCCCATTAGAGGGGTGCCCTGGGACCCCCCACTCGTGGCTGTTCTCACACCCAGTCTCGCGGGTCTCCTCTCCCCTCTTCAGCTCGGTGTCGGGACTGAAGCAGACCTTGTTGGCTGAATCCGGGGCTCTGACCAGCTACAGCCACCAGGTGTTCTCAGCCTGGGACTTTGGCCTCCGTGGGGACGAGAATGTGCGGCTGCGCCAGGGCATCATTCTGTATGAGTTGCAGGTGCGCTTGAGGTAGGGCAGGGGCCACAACTCCCTAAGGACCGAAGGGACCGAGCTGAGAAGACGCTGGGCCTAACCCTGTGATAGGGCTTTTGGAGAGAAGCGGGTCGGAGATTCTTCTAAGGAGGGAGGTCGTGGGTATGGCAGGGCTGAGGAGCATGGTGTGACAACAGGGTTGCCTGAGGCTGAGCCGTGCAGAAACAAGTACCCAGCAGAACAGGACCGGCCTTGAGGTACCTTGGTTCAAAGTGGCCTGGTGGCTTGGCCAGAGCGGGCGCGGCTTGGTAAAGCAGGATTGGAGCTCCAGGCAGGAAGTGCAGGGCGGGAGTCTTGAGAGGGGGCCTGAATGGTCCTATGTAGGGTCAGGAGTGGGTGGAACGGGGACAAGAGACCCTTAGCTGGTAGGTGAGGAGTGCATCGGTTCAACTTGAGGAGGGGCTCTGGGCAGCCCCCAGAACTGAGGAGATGGAGCCCACGGGAACGTCTCTCCTGGCCTCAGGTGGAACTGGAGGAAGCAGTGGTGCAACGCCAGGCTGCAGCTCGGACACTGGGCCAGCAAGCCAAGGTGTGGCTGGTGCGAGCGCTGCTCAACCTGCTGGTGTTGGCGCTCCTGGCCGCGGCCTTTTACGGTGTCTTCTGGGCCACAGGATACACCGTGCAACTACAGGTGTCAAGGGTCTTGGGGAAGGAGCGCCCCAGGGTCCTGGAACCTACATTTCCAAGGATGGAGGGCTGTGGGAGGGAACCGAGGTCTAGGATTCCTGGAATCTTAGGAGCACAGGGGCGGAGGAGGTGTTTGGACCCTGGACTCAATGGCCCTGAGGGAAGAAGAGGCTGGGGGAGGCCCTTAGGCATGGCTCTTTGCTTGGTTTGTCCTCCTTCCCAGGAGATGTCCCTTGTCCAGCAGACCCCACTGCTAAATCTTGTAGTGAATTATCTTCCGTCCATCTTCATCTCCGTGGTCAACTTCGTGCTGCCGTTTGTGTTCAAGCTGATCGCCCCACTGGAGGGCTACACTCGGAGCCGCCAGATCGTTATTATCCTGCTCAGGTTCCAGCCTCCTGGGATGGGCTGGGGGTGGTGGAATGGCAGCGGTCAGGTTGTTTGGCTCTGCAAATGAGACGGGGAAATCCCACGGATGTAGGATCCAGGGGTTCTGGATTCAAAATCGGATCACACTGAGCCTCAGTTTCTTCATCTGTGACATGGGGAAAATCCTCCTCCTCCTTTGCCTTGCAGGACTGTGTTTCTGCGCCTTGCATCCCTGCTGGTCCTGCTCTTCTCCCTCTGGAATCAGCTCACTTGCGGGGGCGACGCCGAGGCTGAGGACTGCAAGACCTGTGGCTATAATTACAAGGAACTTCCGGTGAGAAGCTCCCGGGGCAGAAAGCGGGTCGATATGAAGCTTAAAATCATGGATCCCTGGAGGAAAGGAGGAGTGGGTGAAGGGGACCTGACGTCCCGGTTGGGAGGCGGGAGGAGCTTGGGTTGCTCTATAGGGGTGCATGCTTGGGAAAAAGGAGGACCCCGAGAATGCACCGGTAGCGCCCTACAGCCTGGCTATCTGCCGCGGCTTTTTCCTTTTTCAGTGCTGGGAGACTCGTCTGGGCCAGGAGATGTACAAACTCCTCATCTTTGATTTTCTGAGCGGCCTGGCGGTCACGCTGCTCGTCCGGTTTCCTCGGAAGTGAGAGCCCGCCCCTCGCCGTGGCTCCGCCTCTCCGGGAGCAGGCCCCGCCCTCAAGGCGCAGTACTCCCTGCTCGCCCCGCCGCTGGGGACCCGGGGCCCTGGCCTAGTGCTTAGACCCCGCCGCCTCGTGCTGGGGCGGGGTGGGGGGGGGGTGTTCCTTCCCTCTGACCCCGCCCCGCGCTCCTTTCCCATTGGTGGCTGAGGCCTTGGAGGCGGGGAAACCTGCCGGCACGTCTCTCACCGCCTCGCCCCGCTCCCGCTGCAGGCTTGTGTGTGGCTTCTGTCCTGGTGCGCTGGGTCGAGTCGCCGGGACGCAGGAGTTCGAGGTGCCCGACGAGGTGCTGGGGCTTATCTACGCCCAGACGGTGGTCTGGGTGGGGAGCTTTTTCTGCCCTTTACTGCCCCTGCTCAACACGGTCAAGTTCCTGCTGCTCTTCTATCTGAAGAAGGTGAGTGAGAAGGACCCAGCCAACAAGTACTGGGACCACCCCGGAGGCTGGACAAGGGTGCCAGGTGCTCTGACTACTAGGTCCTGAGAAGAGAGCGCTGGAGGGCAGAAGAAGGGGTCTAGGGCATCCCGCCATCTAGGTCCCAGCCATTAGAATTCAGGTTCCTTGGTACAGCCTGGGGTGGGGGGCAGGACTCTAGGGTAGGAAAAAAGGATAAGTGAGCGACTCTTGGGTCTCAGAACCCCTTTTCCAACCTTCTTTGCCAGGTCACCCTCTTCTTCACCTGCTCTCCAGCCTCCCGCACCTTCCGGGCCTCCACCGCGAATTTCTTTTTCCCTCTGGTCCTTCTCATGGGTCTGGCCATCTCTGCTGTCCCGGTGTTTTACAGCATATTCCAGTGAGTGGGAGCGGTTCCTGCCTCCTTCTTCTACCCTCTCACAGGGTTCTGAGTCTGGTCCTATTGTGCCCAGCCTGTCTCTGCCTCCAGGATCCCACCTTCTAAGGCATGCGGTCCATTCCGGGATAAGTCATCCATCTGGGCCCAGATCCCTGAATCCATTGACAGCCTCCCTCAGACCACCCAGAATTTTCTCTTCTTTCTGGGGACCCAGGCTTTTGCTGTGCCTCTCCTGCTGATCTCCAGGTGAGGGGACACAGACTTCTAAGTTTGAATATGTGATCTGGGGTCCCATTACCTGTGTCCTCAAGATATCCTAGAAAGAAGGGACAGGGGTATGAATTCCTGAGTCTGAGGGAGGTGGGTTGGGGCCTGGATTTCTTGGTCCTGAGGAAGAGTTGGGGCTCGGTACTAGATTCCTGGGTCTTGAGAGGAGGAGAATAGGGTCTTGCTCTCCTGGGCGTGAGAGGAGGGGTGGGACCCTGGAGTCCTTGCTCCTAAGAAAGAGGAGGGTCTAGAAGACTGAATTCCTGAATCTGAAGGAGGAGGGGGTCTTGGAGTCTTCCCCCGCCCCTTCTTTTCAGCACTGGCATTGAACACAGGGGCGCTCTATAACTAAGCTACATCTCCCCATCCCCAGCCCTTTTTATTTGTGTCTCCCGAGTAGCTGGAATTACAGGTGTTCACCACTGCATCCTGCCTAAATACATAGGTCAGGACGCGTGTCCGTGGTGGCTGTTCTGTGTTGCTGGGGATTCAACCTGGGGCCTGGCTCATGCGTGCCAGTCTCTGTTTTTTAATGAGACATAGGGTGAAGATAATCTAAGAGAGTTTCTGGAGATGTTTCCATTCCTTTCTCCCTTAGCATCCTGATGGCGTATACCGTGGCCCTAGCTAACTCTTATGGACGCCTCATCTCTGAGCTCAAACGCCAGATAAAGACGGTGAGCCAGGCCAGTCCCTGGGAAGGGCTCCTCGGGGACATGGAAAGTGCCATGGGGGAGAGAAGGTGTGTCTCATCTTCACCTCTCTTGACCCCAGGAAGCGCAGAATAAAGTCTTCCTGGCACAGCGGACAGTGGCAATGAGCTCCGCCAGAGGGGCTTCGACCAGCGTGTCTCGGGATGACGTCCCACCGTGAGGCCCCAGACATTCCCCAGCCCTGTCCCGAGATTTCCAGAGCTTCCGCTGCCAAGTACGGACGGTCTAATTGAACCTTCTGATCACTTTAATAAACAGGGTTGAGGCTCCTGAGCGCTCTTTCAAACCAGAGTCCTGAAGCCTGGGGTAGGGCTTTGCCCCGGGACTAGCCAATCGGATGTATGGGCATGCGTGTCGGCGCGTAGGGCTAGACGGCATGGCAGCCAATCGGCGGCCGCTTCCGGTAGCATCAGGGGCAGGGCCGCTTGACGATCCCGACAAGAGCTGTCGCCAGGCGTACAAAACGCCCAATGTCTAGGATTGGCTGTGATGGAGAGTGTCTCGGCCAATCACCTTTCTCTACGGACTTGGAGGGGCGGTGCTAATTGACCTAAACCAAACCGTGGCCGAGGTAGGGAACAGGGCGGGGCATCTCCTGCCAATTGGAAGTGCTAGAAGGCGGGTCTGCCAGTCTGTGTACAGCTACAGCGCCATGAACATCTTGCCCAAGAAGAGCTGGCATGTTCGGAATAAGGACAATGTCGCCCGCGTGAGGCGTGACGAAGCTCAGGCCAGGGAGGAAGAAAAGGAGCGTGAAAGGAGGGTACTGCTTGCTCAACAAGAGGTAAGCTTCGAGTACGGGCGGGCGGAGCTATCGCGGCTAATCGCACCGGCGTCGCGGGCAGGAAGCGGAAGTGGGGGATGCGCAGGCGCGGTGCGCTGCTACTAGTCGCCGCTCCAGCTTTTGGCGACGATTTTTTTTTTTTTTTTTTTGCTAGCTCTAAGCCCACTTCCGCAAAACCTCTAGAAATCTCTGGTCTTGATTCTCCCCTGATGTGTTTGCAGTGTCCAGAGCCTGCCTCAGAGTAGGAGTTTAATAATTAGTTGTTGAATAAATAAACGAATCTGTAAAAATGCGTTTCAAGGAAGTCACTTTTTAACCAGTTTGCCTGCGCACCCTATTTGTGTGCTCAGTTTGTGCAGACCACTTGATTTCCGAATCTTAAGCACTGAGTTCTCGGAGGGGGGTTGTCATCTTGCACGAAGCGAGGTAGCTTCAGAGAGGAAGGCACAGGAAGAGGGAACAGTGGCACAAGCCAGGTTCCACTTCACTGGACGAGCCCTTTCCTTGAACTGCTTCCCAGACGCAAGTTTTTGTTTTTGTTTTCTGTTGTTTTTGTACTGGGGATTGGACTCAGGGACGCTCTAAACTACATTCCCACCACCCTCCCGGCTTTTTAGACAGGTCTCACTTAAGTTGCTGAGGCTGGCCTCAAACTTAAGATCCTTCTGCCTCAGTTTCCTGAGTCTCTAGGATTAGAAGCATGGACCACCACACTCAACTCAGAGGCTTTCTGTATAGCTCCTAAATTTGTTTGGTTTACACCTAATTCCTCAGCTAATCTGATCCTCAACGGTGGCTGGAGAGGTGGTGGCAATCTGGGGTTTTAAAATTCACGTTTCTCAGTATAAATTACTAATCATTTTGGGGTAGTGACTTGATACAATGCCTGGGATTTAGAGCGTTTGCCCTGAAGCAATCTGACTACATTCATAACCGTTGTAAATCACCACCATTACCATCAAATCTAACCCGAGGGCCTCACTCATGCTAAGATGGGGCTCCGACAACTGAGCTGCACCTCTAGCCCAATAGCTTTTTTTTTTTTTCTTTTTCCCCTCTCTTTGTGGTACTGGAGATTGAAACCAGGGACTCAAACATGTTAGGCAAATGCTCCACTACCAATCTACATCTGCAGCCCGCCATTAAATTTTGGAATAGGGTCTTGCTAAGTTGTTCTAGCTGGCCTCCAGCTTGCATTCCCTGCCTCGGCCTTCCCAGTACGTGGGATTACAAGCACCACCATGCCTGGTCCTGTACCTGTTTTTATCCAGACTGGAATCCCTTTTGGTTTAGGCCAGGGATCTTTTTCCACCTGTCTTGATAACCTCACCATTTACTATTTTCACCCATGCTGAGACAGGTGCCTCTTCTGGGTCCCAGTGCCTGTGTTCTCTCTTGTAGCCCCCAGCGTGATGGACCGCTATGCTTTCTGCAGTCAGCACATTTGAGTCCCCTTGAGCGACCTGTAGGTTTTGCATATCCTGCCTATAATTCTTTCCCCCCAGGCTCGCACAGAGTTCCTAAGGAAGAAAGCCAGGCATCAGAATTCACTGTCTGAACTCGATGCAGCAGAGGCAGGAGCTCCAAGGTCTGGCCCTGTGGACCTGTTCCGGGATTTGCTGGAGGAAGGGAAAGGGGTGACCAGAGGCAATAAAGACTATGAAGAAGAAAAACGACAGGAAAAAGTAAGCTGGCCTCATCTGTGTCATCAGAGGGATACTGAAGAGAGCTGGGAGACGGAGGACATTTTGGCCCCGGGCTGTGACTGAGCCTTAAGAAGTATAGTGAAAGAAATAAACACAGAACATTTGCAACAGGCTAGAACACAGTGCCTAGGACACTGGTTATTCCTGTGGGGTACTCACAGTCCTGGTTAGTAGATGATGGAGGTGGTGCTGACATTTTTTATTTGGGGTACCAGAGATGGAACCCTAGGGCACTCAACCCCTGAGCCACATCCCCAGCCCTTTTTTGTATTTCATTTATTGACAAGGTTTTGCTGAGTTGCTTAAGGCCTTGCTAAATTGCTAAGGCTGGCTTTGAACTAGCAATCCTCCTGCCTCAGCCTCCTGAGCGGCTGGGATTACAGGCGTGCACCACCACACCCAGCTTCTTAAACTTTTTAAATGTGAATCAGACCCTGCCACTCTGTAGCTCTCTGGCATTTCCATCATTCTGAGATTGTTATTCCCCAGCCTCCACCACTGTGCTTTCAGCTGTCTCCCCAAAGCCTGCCTTTGAACTCACAGAGCTCTGCCCCATCCTCCCATTTACCTGCTTGGTACTACATTTGCCACTGTGCCTACATCAGAAGTTCAGCCTGTTTGCATTAGGCCTTAGCACCTGATAGCTGATTGATGATTGGCCCTTGATTTCCAGTGGTGGAATGACTGGTTGTGTCTCCCCAGGACCTTGTGCTCTGGGTAGGATGCCCTCGGTTTCTCTGTTACCATATCTAGAGCTCCCTGAGGAACTCAAGTTCTTTCAACATCTCTTCTGTTTTCTGGCTCCCTTAGGAGAGGCAAGAAAAAGCGCTGGGCATCCTGACATACCTGGGCCAGAGTGCAGCAGAGGCCCAGACTCAACCCCCTTGGTACCAGCTCCCCCCAAAGCGAGGGGGTTCCCCAACAGGCTCAGGCACAGATGAGAAGATCAAGAGCCGACTAGACCCCTTACAGGAGATGCAGAAACATCTGGGGAAGAAGAGAAGGCACAGCAGTGAAGAACGAGGTCACAACAGAAAGGGAAAAATGGAAGGATCTGAGAAGCAGCGGCCCAAGCAGTAAGAACAAAGACAAATGCAGGGCAGACCATTCCAGACAGAGAAGGTGGCAGCAGCCCTGCCTGGGCACCACAGCTGATATGGCAGGTGGGGTAGGAAGTGGCTCTCAACATGTGGTCCAGGGACCCCAAGTTCCAAAAAAGCCCTCTGGAGTCCTGTAGTGTCAAGCTGCTTTTCCATGATGTGAGATGTCTTTGCTCTGATTGCTTGGTGTTATGAACACTTACGTCCAAAATTTGTTTCATTTCTACTCCAGTATGTAAACTTAAAAATCTTTGATTTCCTCAGTTTTTAAGAGTATAAAAGGGTCCTGAGACCAAAACATTTGAGAATCACTGGGTTAGAGAAGAAAAGTAGGCTTGTGTCCTCAAGATGCTAGATCCCAAGTGCAGGGGGCGTTTCCGACTATAATTTGATTTACCTCACAAGAGGAAACCAGTCCAGAGGTTTCCCTGTTCTCCCCAGGATGCTACTCTGCACTTGACCTCGGTTGGGGTGTGTGGGGTGCAGAGGGCACCTGCTTTTAGGACTGGGGAGAACAGAAGCCCACAAAAGGGTGGGCAGAGACTTCCTCATGGTGTTCCTGCACCAGGTGGCTTCAAGAGCTGAAGCAGCAGCCTGAGACATAGGGGCTCCTGGTGGTAGAGGTGAGAGGGCTGCCCTGCTTTCTGACCTTGCTTCTCTTCCCTAGGCCCCCATCCCTGGACCAGCTTCGAGCTGAGCGTCTTCGGCGGGAAGTGGCTGAGAGGGCTCGGGCTGAGGCCCTGCTGGCCCGGATCCAAGGCAGGGTACCCCAGGAAGGTCAGCCAGAGGAAGAGATAGATGATCGACGCCGGCGGTACAACTCTCAGTTCAACCCCCAGCTAGCCCGGCGGCCCCGCCAGCAGGATCATCTTGCTCACTGACTCCTGAGGGGGTACAGGAGAGGCTGTGCTGCCAGCCGTCATATAAAACTATTTATTCATAAATATTTTCCAAAATGAAAATAGGTTTACCAAAAAATGTCCCTCACTGGGGAGGGGAGGAGGGGGCAGCCCTCGCCCCCGGGGCCCCCAGGGTGGGGCTGAGAGGAAGAGAAAACCTCCCGGCCCTCTCCCTGCTTCCTGGGGGAGGGGGTGCCCCATGGCCTGGGGCCTCCCCAGTCTTCCAGGGCAGGGCCCTCACCTGGGCAGGGGGATCAGCATGCGGGGGAAGGGTCAGGTAGAGGGGGCCGGTGTCACTGGAGGTCCCGGTCCTCCAGGTAGCGGTACTCAAAGGTGAAGCCTTCCTTCTTCCGCTGGCCCCACTTCTCGTAGTCAAAGTAGATGTAGGTGCCCTGGCCAGGGGAGAAGGTGGTCAGTGAGTGGATGAGGTGGTGGACTGGGAGCTGGGTCAGACCAACAGGGGACAGTTCTAGGGGCCATAGAGGTGCCAGACCAACTGCCCCACATGCACACGCAATTCCACTCCACCACAGTGGTCTGGTGTGTGCACCCCAGTCAAGCCTCTACCCAGGCCTGTCTGCAGAGCTCCCCCTGCTTTCAGATGGCTGCAGCTGTGGAGCATCTCCCGGGTGCCCAGTACAGATGTAAAGGCCTAGTGTGGAGTCTCCACAAAGAACCTAAGGCCACAGGTACCACTGCCCTTGCCTAGAGCTCCCAACATGTTCAGAGTCTACATTCCAAGTGCTCTGCAGGGACACTTTATTGTGACAGTGATGGTGTGGGAATTTCTAAATGACTGGATGCCCTAGAATGTACTGATGTGAAGGACCAAACTAGGATGGGACACAAAGTCAGCAGTCAAGCGATCAAGGTTGGAGAAGAGCTAGGTCCTGAGTGAGGGTCTGAAATGCTTCAAAGAAAGCAGCCTGGAGATCAGAGGAGCAGGATGGAATTTGGTGAGGACAAGGATCACTGAAGGGGCTTGACATCTGGGAAACATTTGTGGAGGAAAACCACTGTGGAACACACCAAATGAAAGTAACTTTAAAAAAAAAATGTCCCCCAGCACTCACTGTGCAGCAGGCACCATTAGTACGTACATGTTATTAGCTCATTTCATCCTTGTACAACTGCAGGGGTGGGTCCTATTACCCCATTTTTACAAATAAGATGACAGAATAGAATAAGGGACTTGCCTGCCCAAGGTCAGCCAGCTGGAGCTGGGCTCAAACTCAGGAGGCTGACTACAAGATGTTTACTAGGGGCTAATTGTTGGAACGTGAGAAGGCCACCTTGACAGCCTCCCTAGTGTCTGCTGAGCCCCTGCTGCTGGGTACAGTGGAGCCCACAGCCTGCTTCAGGGAGACATGTCAACTAGGACATTCACACTCCCAACCAAGGCGCCTAGTGCCACACAGAAGAGACACAGGCTGCTGGCTCCAGGAAGCCTTCTTTGGGCAGGGACACTTGGGCTCAGTTTGAGCCTGTTTTGGGCCCAGTGTTTGGGTTCAGACCTAGAGCTCAACAAGTGAAGGATGAGAATTGCATCCCAGGCAGAGCAATCCTGGTTAGTCTGCAGGTCTCAGCTGGCTGAAGAGTGGGAGTAAAGGAGAAAGGCCAGCAGGGGCTGCCTGGGCTTGGGAATGCTAGCCATCTCTCAGTGGGACCAGGGTGGGTGGGGCCCTCACCTGCTCAAACTCATCGGTGATGGTCTTGGGCTCCTCGTGCCTCTGGAACCACATCATGTACTTGGTGTGGAATCGCCATGATTGCTTCTTTAGGGCCTTGGCTGCCAGGTACTGTGCTTTAGTGCCCTAGGGGAAGAAGGCAGGAAGGGGGGGATCAGGGGGCCCCCAAGCTGGGTAGGGACCAGGGGAATGGGGTGGGGCATTAGGGCTGGACCCGGGCCCCCACTACAGACCACAGTTGGGCTGGACAATCCGTTTGCAGACAGCGCTGGGGGCATGGAACATACCAATGTTGGTCAGGAGAAGAAAAATGAGACAGGAGGTGGAAATTGCTTTCAGAGAAGCTTTGAGAAGGAAGAGAAACTAATATATGAAGAGAGCTCAAAAGAGAAAGTTTAGAGTACTACTCAGTAGGGATGAGGGGAGGGTACTCATGATGGGCTGGGGTCAGGAGGATGCATGGGTTCCAAGAAGTCTGCAGGGATGCCTGAAAACAGGGGGTCCAAGACTAAAGGGCCTGGCTGAGGAGAGCTGGGAAGGGGCTTTGGGCCATGCCAGGGAGAAACCAAATGGTCTGGGCTGCCACTGAGGCCTGCCTCTCCCTCAGTCTGAGTAGCTCTTGACACCACTGGGCTGGATGGAGACTGGGACAGTCTTGGTTTGGGGGAGCAGGGCCCGGGACTGGGATAGGGAGGGGGGTGCGGTCCCGGTGGCCGCATTGGGGCACCCACCTCGCCCCTCCAGCCCGAGGGGGGACGGCGGCGGTGGCGGCGGAGCCGGGGGGCCCGAGGCTGCCCCGGGGGCCCTGCTGTACCTCCAGATAGTAGAAGATGAAGAAGAGCGTCTCAGTCGACAGGCGCTGATAGAACTCCACGGTGTCCGAGTGTGGGGGCGGCATCTGGTGGTGGTAGGGGGGCGTCGGGCAAGGGTTCCGGGGTAGGTACTGCCTGTGGAGCAGCAGGGGGTTAGTGCCAGCTGCTTTCTGGCTCCTGCCCCGATCTCAGGCCATCTGGAGGGAACCTGAGCCAGGCCTTCATCACTTCCTGGGGCCAGCTCACTTTTACCTACAGCCTCTCAGGACTGGGAGCCAGCTCCCCAGGGGCTGCCTCCTCCCTCAGACTCTGGAGTCCCGGCCCCCAGCCCGTTCTGTGGCCCCTCACCGGATGCGCTCGGAGTCAGAGGGGTGGGGCATATGGTGCCAGGCAGCCTCCTCCATGGCCTGCTGGTAGAGCTGCTCCTTGGTGAGGGGCACTGGCCCCAGTGGACACACGCCCAGCGACAGTGGTATGTTCACCTCTGACAGTTGCAGGGGTGGCTGGGCTGAGGCCGGAGGTGCTGATGTGCTGCTCAGGATGATGTCTGTGGGGAGGGGAGGGTCAAGCCCTTGGATGAGGAGGATGGATGGGGCCAACCCCTTCTCTGACCTGCCCCCTTCTCCACCATCCCTGGACTCTTACCTCGCTCCGTTAGGTGTAACGTTGGCACAGGGTCCTCAATACCAGAGCTGATGGCTGCCCGCTCTGCCATGGACTTCAGGGAGCTCAGAGGCTCAGGAGCCTAGGAAGAAAAGAAAAGGTCTGTACTAAGGGCACAGGCCAGAGATTGCTAAGAACAGCCTGTCAGGCCCCAAGTACTCTTGCCTGTTCTGCTGAGAGCCATCAACGGCAATTACTCATGCCTTAAGATGTACCTAAGGCATGGGGTTATGAATGATGGTGGAATGTGATGATCGTTATTATCCAAAGTACAGGTATGAAGACACGAATTGGTGTGAATATACTGTGTATACAACCATAGAGATGAAAACTTGTGCTCTATATGTGTAATAAAAATTGTAGTGCATTCTGCTGTCATATTAAAAAAAAAAAATGTACCTAACATGTAAAAGAACTGCTGTGGGGAAAACTGGAAACTGTGTGGACTCTCCATTGTAGAATACGACCTACAGAATACCAATTGTGCCACCGTTTGTCTTAAGACATTCCTAAAAGGACCCCAAACTCTGGGGAAAAAAAGCCACTTGACTACCTGGTATTGTGGGGCATCTTAGGGAGGTGGGAGGTCTCATTCCCTTGAGAGTGAAAGGTTATCCCTCTGGGACTTGGTGCCCTCTTTGGGAATACCAGCAAGTTGGACTGGTATTAACTAGGTTGGAACTGACTTCTGCTCCCTGCAGTCAGGGCTGCTCCTCCACCCATTCTGTACAACACTTCGGTCACCAAGGCCCATCCACCCTGCATCCAAATATCCTGGATAGACCCATTCCATCCCCTGGCCATGCCCGGAGCTGCCCAGGCCTTCATACCACCTTTTGTTTCACCCCCAGCAGTCCACAGGGACCTCTCCAGCAAGCTGTCTTTGTCCCTTCTCTACCCAAAACCTTGCCAAAGCTCCCATGTTCCACCCCAGTGATTTTTTTCCTTTTAAAAACCATGGACTCCTTCTCAAAGTTGCTTATTCCGTTTTCCAGAAAAGCACACACCATGAATTTTCTGATACCTACGCAATTTGAAAGCTTCTTCTAGGTCAGAAACTATTCCAAGGGCCTTATAAAGAATGGTCTGGCAAAGAATCCTATGTGGCAGGTGTTAACAGTGAGGATTTCTACTTTTCAATGAAGAGAAAGAGGCCCAGACAGGACAGCCAGGACCTGGAGCTGGACAACCTGGTCAGGTTCATAGGACACCCCCCTGCTCTGCGTGCAGGCTCTTCCTCTGCTGAACCCACCCAGACTGCCTGGGCTGATCAGTGCCTTTCCCAGAATTCCTCTGGCTGTCAGTTCTCACCTATCCTATGCACACCGCTTATGCATCAGGCCCCTCATAGCCTTCCTGGACCTGCCCCCCAGAACAGGTCAGGTACCCCTCTGCAGCCCACAAGAGCCTCCTCTGTGGCCACCTGATCACACACAGCTCCCTCTAGCACTGGAACAATTCCTGAGGGCAGGAACCAGCACAAAACCTGGCTCAGAGAAATGACCTGAACAAATATTTTTTTGCTTTTGGTACTGGTGATTGAACCCAGTTGTGTTCTACCACTCTGCTACATCCCCAGTATATGTATGTATGTATACATATATATATATATATATATATATATTTTTTTTTTTTTTTTGAGACAGGGTCAGCAAGTTGCCTAGATTGGCCTCAAACTTGTGATCCTTCTGCCTCAGCCTCCCGAGTTGCTGGGATTATAGGTGTGACACCACACACCACTCAAGTGTTTTCTTGATTGAAATGGTCTTTTAGAAGGCCCAAGGGCATGGTGACTTAAGGAATGGGCATGTGAAGTAGAAAGTACCATGCATCTCAGGAAGGACAGAGACTGAGGGTCTGGGGAGATAAAAAAACAAACCCATGGAAAGAAAGCAGGCGAGCAAATACAACCAACAGAAAGGGAAAGAAGACCAGAGAAACACACAGTCCCAGAAAGAACCAAGGGGGTTGAGAGCACCAGAGATGGAGGTGAGGATGTGGGGTGGAAAAGGTCCAAAGAAAAGGGAAGAAAAAAACAGATAAACATTCAGAAAGGAAGGGGAAGTAGAGGTGTTGCTGGAGACCTGTAACAGGGTGCAGGAAAACACCTGGAGGCCACAGAAATCAGGGATACTCAGAGCTCACCTTGACTTCTGGGGTGGTGCTGAACTGCGGAGGTCCATTAAGCAGAGCACCAGCTGCCTTGGCCTCACTGAAGCTGGGCGTTGGGGAGCTGGGAGGGTTCACAGGCAGTGGCACTAGAAGGCTGGGTCCCCCTGAGTTGTTCCCTGAGCCTGGGGCCACACCGCCAGCCCCTGTTGGGGCTGCCGCACTGGATTCTTTCCTGGGAATAAGATGAGAAGGGGAAGTGGCTCAGAGGAAAGTCGTGGGAGTGATGAGCACAGAGAAGCCAGATGGGCTCCGAGAGGGGCTACTTAGGACAGAAGCAGTTTTTTGGGACCAAGGTAGAATTAATTTCTGGGATTTTTTCCTCAGTAAAGCAGAGCTGCCGGAGTGGGAATACAGATTCTGAAGGTGCTCAAATAGGCCATGAGGCAAAGAGAGAATGGGGGGGGGGGGTATGTTCTCAGGTAGATGGACACAGGGCAGGTGCCCCTGGGGCAACCCAGCTAGAGCTGGGGTGGAGGAGGAGGAGGATGACAGGTCCCTCATTTAGCATTCTTTCAAAAACAGGTGGACCCAGAGGAGTGCTCTGACTTAAACTTTGGAGGAATGGCTGGAAACAAAGGAAGATTTGTGGACATTTCACTTGGAAAAGTGGAACAATGTCCCATCCAGTGGGAGTCAGCCTTGGGGCAGGAAACAGAAATGGTGAGAATATGGTGGGGCACTGGAGAAAAGTCCCAGTGAAAGGAAGGTGGATTTAGGACAAGCTACTGGATAAAGCTAGAGGCTAATGCACACCTCCCAGGTGAAGAGAAGTGGAGACCGGACACCTAGCAAAGGTGGACGTCAAAGCCCACTGGACGCCCTGCCCATCAAGGCCAGGTTAGCAATCCCCCAATGAGGAGCCACCAGAGCCTATGTGTTCCAGGAGAGGCTGCAACTGCCGCTGCCAAGACACTCACGAGGTGCTGGGAGGTGGATTGTGGGGACCTGAGGCCGGACCCAGGGCCTGGCTGCTAGCACTGTTGCCCCCACTGCTGCTCAGGGCCACCTCTGCAGGGCTGTCTGCCACGACTGAGCTGTAGCCTGGGGGGAGCAAAAGGCAAAGAGAAAGGGGCTGTTGGCTGCTCCCTATCCTGCTCCAGGCCCCTCCTCCCACCCTGCCGGCCTCACTTACTGGTGGCACCGTTCTGCTTGCCAGCCCCTCCACCTGTGCTGCTGTTACTATTACTGCCGCTCCCTCCACCACCGCCACCACCACCCCCGCCAGGCTGGGCACTGGGGGGTCGGGGCTGGGTAGCACTGGGCCCACTGGGGGCTGGTGGGGCCACAGCCTGAGCATAGGGGGCAGGGGTGCCCGAGTTGTGGCTGGGAGCTGGACTGGCCTTAGGGCCCAGGGCACTTGGGGGTGCTGCTGGGGCAGGTGCCCCATTGTTGCCAGGGGTGGTGCTCAAGGCAGAGGCGGCAGGCGGGGGACCAGAGGGGTAGGTGGGTGGCACAGCTGGGGACTGGGGATGCTGGTTGCTGTGGACAGGCTTGGAACCATTTTTGGCTGGAGACTGCAGGGAAGAGAGAACAGTGTCAGGACCCAGTGGATCAGCAGGTTCCCACCCACCTCAGGCTCAGGCTCAGGCTCCATCATGGTCCTACCAACCTCTTCTCTGAACTTGCTGCCCTTGACTGCTCCCAAACTCCAGGGAACCGGGGGACCTCATCCTAACTGCTTCAGTCATCTTCGTGCTCAAAACACATTTATTTCCAGTCTGCCCAGCTCCCTAAATTCTGCCAGGACACCTCCCCATGTACCCTATGGTGATCTGGCACAACTCTTGCTGTCAGTCAGCGAAGACCCATCTGTTGTTGGTCAAAAGGGACTGGTGGGAGACTCCTAAATGCCCTCAACATGAGAGGAGCCTGAGCAGCCTCATGTTCAAGAGTAGAAGAAAACCAGCTGACAGTCAAGCACTGCTTCTGAATGTCACTGAAAGGACCACTACAGCCACTCATGGGGTCATACATTACAGCACTGCACAAAGCAGTAGCAGAGAATCCCTGCTGCAGCCAAGTTCTGACAGACAACGTGGGCTGCCACACCAACCAACTTGTGGACATTTCTTCACCACCACATGGGAAACTCAGGCTCACCAGGCACCAAATGGGACTGGCTACCCACTTCCCTCCTGGGACTGCTGTTTGGCTGTGGGGGCCCAGGAAGGTGGCAAAGCCCACCTGGGAGTCCCTGCCCCAGCCTCTCTCTCACTGCTCCCAATCCTGGTCCCCACACCAGTCTCACTGATGTCCACCAAGGGCCTCTCCCTTGGCCCACAGGGGGCCTTAGGCCCATTCTGCCCTTCCTAACGTCATCCTTGTGTGTTCCCACCCAGGTAGTTCCACGGCAGGTGTCTGCTTTCAACCTATCGCTTCTCAGTCTTGCTTGGCCCCTTCAGGGCTGGTCCACAAAGCCCTAGCCCCGTAGCCCAACAATCCCAGGCCAGACTCATCCCACTTCCAAGCTTCCGGTCGGAGTTTGCCCTTGTGAACTGCGGCTGCCTCGTCGTCTTCTGGCGCCCAGGGCACAGCCACCTGAACCACAGCGGTCAGTCACCTGCCTATCTCCCCTCACGGTGGCAACGATTTCTGAGCCTCCACTCGCCTAAGCCTAGCACAGTGGCTAGCACTCAGACCTGAATAAGCCTTTGGGAACCACTGGATAAACAGGGGACATGCCCATCCATTACTGGCTTGAACCCACCTGGCTGACTTCACTATCTGTCGAGCGTCCTCTCTTCTTATCATCTTCAGAGTTCTCCTGGTTGGGGGAGGTGGAGTCAGACACCTGTGTGGCTCTTAGGTCCCAACACAGAGACACCATAATCTCTGAACCTCCTGGGGACCTGGACCCAGCTGAATGACTTTGTACCCCAGAGTTGTCCAAACACCTAACCTTAATTTTTCTGGAGAAACCACCTAAATTCAGGTTCCCCAATGTCCTTGTCTTTTGGGAGCTGGCATTAATGCCCCCATCTTCCTAACAACCTAGGAACCTTCTCTCCTTAGGGAATTTCAGTCCTTGGATCCCTCTGCCTGAGCTTGCTGCCCAGGGCCTCAGGCGCCCCCTGCACTGGCCCCACACACCCAAGACCCACCCATGGCTTAAGATTGTGTGGGACACCAGGGTCCACCTATCAGCTCTTTACATCAAGAAGGGCCTCAGCTGCCCTCCCTGCAGGCCACTTTGGAGAAAACAGGCTCCTCTTAACTCCCATCCTCCTGGTTATAGCATCTTGCTACTCTGGGTCCTCACCGTGGTGCAATTGGCTGGACTGGGGGGGATGGGAGAGCTGGAGGTGGTTGAGGTGGGCGTGCTGCTGGACTGGTTGAAGATCTCGTCCTCCATGTGGCTGTGGCTGGGGGGGGAGGTGGCGACCAGCGCCTGTGCTGTGGAGACAGGAGAGGGGCATGATTAGCTGGTGCAGCTGACCCTTCGGGGCCTTCACCCTCTGCACCATGAAGGTCAGTCCAGGGCCTTACGAATGTCCTCGAGATCCAGGTCATCATAGAGGAACTCATTCTCCTCAAAGTCAGGGTCCTGAGAGGAGTCAACGTAGTACTCAACATCATCCTTGATCTTGCGAATGGCATCCACGAGGATGGAGTCATTGTCCAGCATGCGCAGGATGGTCTCCAGCATGCGCACGTGGTAGCGGTGCTTCTCGATGTGCCGCTTCAAGCCCTCAATCCGGTCCTGCTTCTGCTGGCGAGCCCAGGGCCAGGCTCAGGGGCTGCAGAGAGCCTGCCCGGCCCCTCCTGCCCCCACAGAACCTGTCCTCAGTCCCCAATCCCCATGGTGACCCGGAGGCTCCACTCTGGCCCCTCCCAGCATGGGGCAGTGTGGAGTCTGCCCACCCTCTACCCCACAGGAACCAAGCTCAAGGTTTCGGACATCTCAGGGATCCCTACCACACCCTCCCTAGACCCTTTTTGTCTCCGGTGATCCCTGGAAACTGGTGAAAGACCAAGATGCTCCTATGCCACCTGCAGCCTCTCAACTGCGCCCCTACCTGCTCTGACCTCCTGGGATAAACACCCGTTCTCCTGTCTCGCCCTAACAGTAACAATGACAGTTCCTGTCTGAGGATCTGCTTGTTGTAATCACCCATCACCAGCCCCCACACCTATCTGTATACCCCTAGAGACCCAGATCCAGAAGCCCAGCTCTTGCCTGCTCCCAAGGCCCCAGTTCCTTTTTGGATTTGACATCTTAGATCAGTTTCAAATTTCTCCTTTCTTCAAGGAACCACTCTCTCTGAGTTCCTACTTCCCAAACTTCTCAGGGTCTCACATCCAACACTGTCATACTCCCACCTCCAACTTTCCTAGTGAACCCCATCGGTCATTATCTGTATTCCTCTGAATCCACACCCTACAATCCTAGAGTAGAATCCAGGACTCCAACATCTGACTTCATCCCAGACCACTCTTCTCCTTCAGGCCATACCCATTGCTCTCAGAGCCCTGTCTTGTCCTGCCACCCTCTCCTGAGAATCTGGGCTCTAGGTGCTATGTGGCCTCCCACCTATGTCACCCTTCAGGTCTCACACTTACTTTGTGGCCCCAGCTGAACCTGAGTTCATTTTCCTCCAAACTGCTCCTCTTTGTGATGGCCTCGCTACCTACCATCTACCCAGACACCTAGGGCCTGATTCTGTCTACCTCCTTCCTGTACTACCGTAATTCTGCCTCTCCAAGCCCTCACCCCAGGTTTGCTCAGGCATCCAGACCCAGTTCCCATGGGCTCCCACTTGCTAGCCCACCTCCATCTTCCACCCCATGGGTCTCAGGGCTCCCCCCACTCACATCCTTGTCGCCCTTCTTCTTGCGCGTTTGCACTGACAGCGATTCCACTTCACTCTCAAACTGGTCCACCTGCATGTTTAGGGTGTCGATGGTATTCTACAGGGGGAGAAGGCTATTAGCCAGGGGTCCTGGGTATGCTGGGGCCAGGACCCCAAGCTTACCTCTTCTTCTCTGCCCCAACTCACCGTGAGCCACTGGCCAACCTCTTCCTTTTCCTTTTGGGCGGGATCCACCTTCTGTGCCAGGCCCAGGCCCTCCTTGCTATAGGCTTTGGTTTTGGTCTCTCTTTCCACAACTTTGAACCGTTCCATTTGCTGCAGAGAAAGCAGTTGGCAGGGGGGGCTTGAAGGTGGGAATGGAACTAAGGGCCAGCAACACCTGAATCTGAGCCTCAGGACCCATCCCTCAGACTCTAGGCCCACTGCCTCTTCCCTTCCCTCAGGTTAAATGCCGTATTCCTCCTGGGATCTCTGGAGTGACTGCTCCATCTCTGCCCCCTGGGGTCCCAGGAATCTGGCTACCACCCTGGTTAGGGACCTAGGCTCTGGGTTCCTACCGTCTCGATAAGCTTGCGGTTGTCAATAAGCTGCCTTTTGTCCTTGATCTCATTGGATGCTACCCATGTCTTGATCTGGTCCCTCAGCCGCTGCAGAGAAGAGAAGCAAGAAAGTCAGATCTTGGATCTGGGAACCAGGACCCTCAGCTCCCTCTTTTCCTGGGACCCAGTAGTCCACTCTCCCAGGCCCTCCTCCCACAGGACACAGGAGTCCAGCCCCAGCCCCCTCACTTGTAGCTTCTTAATCTCCTTCTTTAGGTCAGCCTCATACTTTTCTTTCTGGTTCGCGTTGGCTGCGTTGTGGAGCTGAGGGATGGAGAATCCAGCAGTCAGTGTGGGAGTGGCTGTCCCGAAACCTGCTCCACGGCAAAGGTCCAGTCTCTCTTCCTCAGGCGGGGGACTCTGACACCCACCCCAGCCCCCGCCATCCATTTTTAAGCTGGTTCTCATAGGTCCTCAGCACCAGGATATACAGCCCCCTCCCTTGCCAACACCCAGAGACCCCCAAAGCGCTTCCTGTGTTCTCCCTGGAAACCCAGATTTTTAGGGCCCTTGTACCTTCTGCCAAATATCTTCAAACTGCTCCACACCCTCGGACACCTTCTTAAGGCAGCGATCAATCTCACCTGTGAAGGAGGATGGCAGGCAGTTAGAATCCTGCCCATTGAGCAGCCAAAGAGGAACCCCCCAAAGAGAGCATTCAGCTACACGTGCAGTGGGTAGTCAGTCCGGTACCTTGGAGTTTGCGCTTGTCCGCCATCTTCCCTGCCCTACAGACGCACTCTCTTCATACTCCCTTGGAGACAGACGCTGCTGGCAAAGATTGGGAAGGAATTAACACCTATTCCTCTGCTGGTCCAGAGACAAGAACACAGGTGGGAAATGTGGGGTAAGAGGCAGGGTAAAGGGAAAAAATGTGTACTATCTAATGAGAGGCCGGGTCCAGTTCTCCTTATGCTCCCTCAATTGCCCAGCTGCGATACTCTGGGAGTTTTGTTAAAATGAGGAAAGACACTTTTTTGTGGTCCTCTGACCCAGGAACTGGAAGGTTCCTAGAGTATAGAGCATCCTTTCCCCAGATAACCATCCAAGGATTTTGTAGAGCAGGACAGTCATACTGCACAAGGTTGACTACAAGACAAAGGCACTGGCCCTAGAAATCACACTTCCTACAAAAAGGGACTGGGAACAGGGGCGACTAGAAGTCATTCCTCAGGCAAGCCAAGAGACAAGCGGCATGAAGGCCTGATACCATGTATGCACCCATGAAGTGTGCAAGAGGGAGGGGACGCTGGGGCAAGGTGGAAGAGTGACAGGAGATACCTAAAACTAAGAAGAGTTAAACCCAATCCTACCAGAGAGGGCGTAGATCTCCAAGAAATTTACCCCAGGGCCGAATCCTTGAGCCAAAAGGGAACAATACTAACCCAAAGAGTGTGATACCAAGAAGGGCAGGTGATTTGGGGGCAGAAAGCAGTACCCAAGAGAGAGTTGGGAAAAGATAGAAATCTTACAAAGATAAGAGGATGTAAAGGTACCTTAGCCACAAGGGAGTTGATCTGCACATGCAAAGAAATTCCATATCAAATAGACTGGTAATTTAGACTCGGAGGAACCTATACCACCAGGGCAGGCACCCAGAACTTAAAGACAGGCATCTTTGCCCTAAGGAAAGTTACATGCAATCCAGGGGAGACCACAGTCTTTCTAGTCACGCTGAAGCCACACCACAGGGCCCAACACGGAGACCAAGGGACCCTTGGGAGGGAGGACCATGCTAAGAGGACTTCTGAGTTGCAAGCAGAGGTTGCCTTCCCCAGGGGCCTACACTGAAAAGCAAGGATCCAAGGACATTCCTACTCCACTGGCAAAGGGCAGGGGTACCCACAGTTACTACTGTGAAGGCAGCAACTGCTTCACACGGAGGACTAAGAGCCTCAACCTGGTGGGACCACACCAGGAATCCTCACCAACAGGTAGGAAACACCCAGGGGACAGTCCTGTCCAATAGCACGTACAATGTGGGAAATGTTCCACAGCCTCTGAATTGGCTGGCCTCTGAATTCTTGAAGGGTGGCCAGTGCAACTAAGGAACTTACTTTTTTTTAAAAAAATAATTCACAGTATGTTGCTTAGGTTTTCTAGTTCCAGGCTCAAGCAGTCCTCCTGCCTCAGTCTCCAAGCAGCTGGGTCTACTGGCAAGAACCATCATACCCAAAACTTCTTTTATTTTAAAGTTGTTACTAATTGCCACAAGGGCTAGCACCTACTGAATGGGGCACTATAAAGACAGCAGGCTTTAAGACACGAGGCACAGAAAGAAAGAACAGAGCCATACCTTCACCACAGGGTTTACTATTTTTGTTTTTACTGATCCCATAGGGACCTATTCCTATGGATGGAGATAGGTGGAGGTGGCACCTGAGACTCAGGGGACTCAGTACAGGGTCATTTGAAGAAAAGCAGTACCTCAGGGTCAACGGACACAAATGCGGGGAACCTCCAGGAAAGTGAAGCAACAGGACACAGAGGACAGTCCCAGTGAGAGAACTCAAACTGGGTTGGGGCAAGTACCTTTGATCCAGCGTCCTTCTACCAGGGCCCAGACACCAAAATGCAGCATGCAGGGATGTTGACCAAGAGTGAGCACTGGCTCCAACACGCCAGCACAGAAAAGCCCCTACTTCATCAGGGACAAGACTTTACACTCCCTCCTTCCACCCAAGTGTGCAACAGAGGGTCAGAGGCTGGAGGGAGAAGTCATCTCATGGTTCACATTCCTAAATAAGGCACTCTACACCTTAAGGAAGTGACGCCCTCCCCAAATCCCATACCAAAGGGGTTGGGACCTTAGTCAGGGGAGGAGCTGATACCCTCCAGGAGGGACCATGCTGTGGCACCAAGGAGGCGCAAGTCCTGAAGGAGTCAGAAGCAAGGAGCCAGAGGAGCGGGACGGTGCTGGGGCAGTGCTTCTGACATCAAGGTGGGCACAGCTGCTACTGGTGTGGACAATACCTGGTTGGGGGAAAAGCATCTCCACAAGAGAAGGGGCAAGTGCCACAGGCCCAGGGTACTCCTCCCTGGGATGCTGGAGTCTCAGCTCAGTGCTCTCCCCACAAAGAACCCCCGCCCCCAAGAGGATGCCTGCACACCAGATGCCCCATCCCCAGCAAAGGTACAAAGAGAAACGAGGCTGGTGCGCAGCACGGAGGTGAAGACGCCACCAGAGGATCCTCATCCAAGGCTTCCCCGAGACCCCCCCAGGAGTTAACTACTTCAGGGCCTGTGAAGAAGGGGTGCCTTCACACCAAACATGTGCTCAGACAGTGGGGTCTGAGACAGAACTGAAGAATCTGGGACTCTTGGCCCAGAACTGGCCCAACCACAAGGATCTCATGTTCATCACCAAGTTAGGAGCTCACACTGAGGGGGCAGGAGGGATGAGCCACACACCAGAGCAGGGAAGCCAATAACAAAGAGGCCCCAGAACTTCACCTCAGGCGCCATGAGGGGCACAAAGCTTAGTCCCTAATCCTGGGGCCATCACATGCTCATACAGAGATCTCGGTGCAAAGTGCCTTTGATCTAGGAGAGCTTACACTCTAGATAAGGAGCTCTGGTGAGCAGTGTCACAAGGCAAGTCTCAATTTGGGGAAGATGCAGGCACCAGGGTGGCAGGTCATGGGTGGAGGTAGTTATATTCCCTGGGAGAGCCCAACACCAAGGGTAGGTATGGGAATTCCCACCATGGAGTTATAGCAGAGCACTCTATTCCCTGGGAAAGTGGTCACATGAGGTATCTCCAGTCTCAGGCACCTCATACTCCCACAATAGAGTGGGACCCACAGCAAGGTCTTTGTGATTACAAGGTCAGAGATGAGAAGCACTGGCCAAGGGCACCCCAACCCAAGGGGGTCCTTAGTCTCACTAGTGAAGACACATGGGGGCATGGACACCTCAAAACCAGGAGAGGGGACAATGTCAACACCAAAGAAAGCAGGGACCTTATTCCTGGGAGTGGCAACACCAAGACAAACTCCTTACCCTGGAAAGAAAGCACAACCCTAGAGAGAAAAGCCACCTCTCCCATCAGAAGCCTTAGGTCTGAGAGGTTTTCCATCCCTTTGGGGTGACAGGTGAGTGGCCTGCAAGCCCATATTCTACAACTTCCTAAACTCGATGATGGGACAATCACGCTCATAGGAAGAGTTCTCTCCAGAATACCGAAGGGGAAGGGGCTCTTGGCTCCTGGGGTGACAACACCCAAAACAGATGTCTCAGACTCAGGGAAGGCACAACCCCTGGCGTGGAGAACCTTCACCAAAAGGGCAGGAGGCTAATCCTGGGGGAGGTTACAGCCCCTGCACCAAAAAGCAGCTACCACTCAGAAAAACAGGCGCGTGCCCTGCCCACGCCAGGAGCTCACCAACAGCAGGAGAGTGGGCGCGGGAGGCTTCACCCAGACCCGGGGAGCTAACCGGCCCCGACACCCGCACCGCGGTGGACCTGACACCCGGAGAGGCAGGCAGTGTGCATCCAGGGGACCCGGCACCCCCGAAGCAGAGGCGGCGCCCAGCCCCAGATAACAGGGCGGGCACGCCAGGGACCACCTGGGTCGGGGGTCGCCACGCTCAGGCTCAGGCTCAGGCTCAGGCACGGGGCGGGCCGCCGGGACTCTACACTGGGGCAACAGCCACACGCTGCGAGGCGGAAACTTTGGCTGAGGCTCTAACTCCGAGCGCGGCCGCTGCGGGCCGGGGACTCAGTTCGCCACCGATCGCCCGCCGGCGGCAGGGCCCGGGGCGGGGCGGCCACGCTCCGGGGGCTGGCGGCGGGAGGGTGCGCGGGCGCCGCGGCGGGGGCGGACTCGAGCGCGGCGGAGGGGGCGGCACCTCGCACCCGGGCCGGCGCGGCGCCACGCGGGAGGCGGCGGCCGAGGCCGGAAGGGCCGAGCGGAGGGCGCGGAGCGGCGGCGGGGCCCGGCGGGCGCGCGGCGAGGGCAGGGCAGGGCAAGGCAGGGCAGGGCGCCGTGTCACGACAGGCGGCGGACCGCCGGGGCAGGCGGCACGAAAGGCGGCCGGCGGCACCGGGGGAGGGGAAGGGGTCCGGCCCAGTCGAGCCCGACGCTCTCACCGCAGGAGCTGGCGCCGCCGCTGAGGAGCGTATCGCGACAGGCGGGGGAGGCGAGCGCCCGCCGCCTTTTTCTCGCGCCCCGGGCCCGGGCGCTATCGCGATAGCGGCGCGAAGCGGAAGTAGGGTGGGGGGAGTGGGCCCGGGGTTGTTCTGACGACGGGGGTCGGGGCTCAAGGGAGGCCGCGGCGTCTGCCGATGGCTCCGCGGAAGCTGACCGGGCCCGGTCCAAGATGGCGGCGGCGGAGGAGGCCTCCCCTCCTCTCTTCTCGTCTCTGGCGCCGACCCGCCCCCGAGCCCCGAATATAGGCCTGTCATTGCTCCTGCCGCACGCCGCTCTTGGCCGTCGGACGCACTCTATTGGTTCTTGGCAGAGATGCGGCCGGCCCCCTCCTGCGGATTGGGCAATCGCTGCAAGGCGCGGCGTTCGATTGGCCTCCCGCGCAGCCTGCTAGGATTGGCTCAGATTTTCTTCCTCGCTCCTCCTCCTCCTCCCGCCTCAGGGCACAACACGCCAGCGCGAGGACCTGTGCGTCCATCAGGAGGCCTGTGTCGTGCTGATTGGATGTACCCGCCCCCCTCTCCTTAACCAATTGGTCGGGAGGAGGAGCCAAGCTGATCAGGGGCGGGAAGTCGTCCGTCAAGTTCGGAGCCATTCTTAATTGGTTGCGGGGTACATTCTGCCTTGAAGCTATTGGTTGTACCTGGAAGTGGGTGGGGAAAGTGGAGGAAGGCATGGAGAGTGGGCGTTAAAAGCCGCGTACCTAATCCGAGACAGGTGCCTTCCTAGCTGGTGCCGAACTGAATTCATCTGCCAATCAAAACAGCTGACAGCCCGAGGGGGCGGAGCTAGGCAAGAAGGCCCACCCCTTTTCCTTCGCTGGTCCTGTTATTCATCTCAGTTTGACCAATAATGTAGCGAGTGGGGCGGCATCTACACATACAACGTGTGATCTAGGGTGTATCCCGCAGGTGTGGCTCTCAGGAGCATCCTTCCGCATCTTTTGCATTCTAAGTTTTATGGTCTTTCTCTAACTGCTTCTGTTTAGAACATCTCTAAATCTCAGTATTTGCTGAATTAAGGAAGGAACTTGAGACAGTGCCTCCAAGTCACTAGTATCATATATAGCAGAATTGGTTGGAAAGCGCGAGAAGTGGAGGTTTTGTCCTGCCTTGACTGGTTAAGTGAGCGAACAGTGGAATACTGTCCTCTGCACCTTTCTTCAGTAAGTATGCCGCAGAAGGTACAGATGAGGCTGCCCTTCCCTTCCCTGGGTTGTCTCCAGTAACACCTGCTCGTTACACGTCCCAGCTCCGTTGTCTTTTTCTTGGGGGAAAAAGTCTAATTGACCATACTGAATGCTCAGGTGAGGATTTATTTTTGCATGACTGTCATTTTCATACTTATTTGTGTTCCCCATTTGAATTTTGCCTCCCTGGTACTTAAGACACAGGAAGCAGTCATAGCTTTTGCTGAATGAATGCAGGTGATAACTTATTGAAAACTCAATGGGTACCTCAGCTTCCTGGGCACTGGGAGGTTTTTTGCCTGGGGTCACACAACAGAAGTAATACACTCCCCTAGGTGGTGAAAAGTAATGGCCTGTTAGACATTCTGCACCACCTCTGTCAGAATTGCATGAGGCAAGAGAGGAAGGAATGCTTGTAAAAATTCGTATTTCTAGAACCATACCGATCTAAGGGAGTGGCACCCAGGAATCTGCATTTTTACATATTTCCCAGGAAGTTTGAGAGCTACTGATCTAGAGCTTTCCTTTCAAAGTGTGGCCCATGGGTACAAAGATGTCTTGTAGGCATCTCACAAATCATCTAGGGATTTCTTAAAATACAGATTTGGTTTAAGAGGTCTCAGATTCTGCTTTCCTGACAAGCTCATAGATCATGCTGTTAGTCCATACTTCACACTTGGAACCTCAAGAATGCAGAGAGATGACGATCAGGCTTGGCTGCACAATAGAATCACTTGGGGAGCTTTAAAAAAATCCAGATTCCCAGGCTCACACTAGACCAACCAAATTACTCTCTGGGGGTGGGAACCAGACAGTAATTTTTCCTGAAATGATTCCAGTGTGCAGCTAATCTGAGCCACTCACAGAAGACTTTTCTAGAGCATTGACTCCCCAAAATGTGGTCCTTGGAATCAGCAGCATAAATATCAACCACCTGGGAACTTCTTTGAAATGCACATTTTAAGCGCCACCCTAGTGAAACTGAACCAAACTCTGGGCCCAGTAAACATGTTTTAACAAGTCCTCCAGGAACTCTGAAGCATACTGAATTTTGAGATTCACACCTCTATGCCTCCACCCCACCCACCAATGGCAGATAACAAACGCAGGTCAAGGAAGGAAAGGAGATTCTGAAGAGAGATGTGGACAAAGGACCCTTTCCCACGACACTGTTGCTCACCAGGACACCTCTCCCCTCAGCCTAAGTGAGTGAAGGCACTTCAACTGAGCCCCAGTTCCCCAGACAGGGTGGTCAGTGAGTGTGAGTGAGGGTGTACGTGTGCTCCCTTTCCTTACCTGGCAGGGACTTTGAGAGTCAGTAGTTCATACTGGTGCAGGAAGTCTGCTTCCCTCACCCTTGTCAGAACTCAGCACCCCCTACCCCCAGCAAACATGGGTTAAAAGTAACAGAATCCAGGGCTGGATTGTGGCTCAGCAGTAGAGCACTTGTTTAGCACGCATGAGGCCCTGGGTTCGATCCTCAGCACCACATAAAAATAAATAAAGGTATTGTATTTCTAAAAAATAAATGATTTAAAAAAAAATAACAGAATCCAGCTATTGGGCCCCTCCTGTGGGCTGTGCATTCTTCCCAGTCCTCCCAGGTACCTCATGGGGAGGGCGTGAATGCTGGGAAGGTGAAGCCACTGGCCCAAGGGACCAGAACAATCCAGTCTGCCCATGTTGCATGCTGAAGCCTTTAAGGGCAATACTGCCAGGGCATCACGATGACTGATGTTCTCCAGGGCTTCACCCAGGAGCCCAG